ACAGCAGGGTCACCTCTGGTGAACAGGTTTCAATGGAGCTTCCAGACTAAAACAGATTAGAAAGGAAAGCTTGGTGATTTACTTTCAAAAGCCAGCCAATGGAAACCCAATGGATTACAACAGAATATTATCTAATACAGTGCTGGAAGATGAATGCTGAAAGGCACTGAAAATACAGTGGCCACAACAATGGACTTGAGCATACCCATGATTGTGAAGGTGTCGCAGGACCACCGGGCAATGTTTCTCGTTCAGTTGTACGTGGGGTCGCCATGAGTTGGAGCTACCTCAGTGGCACAGCAACAATAGCAGCAAAATATAACCAAAAAAAAATTTGCCATTTTAACCATTTGTAAGTGTATGATATAGTGACATTAATCACATTCACAGTATTATGCTATCATCACCGCTATTTCCAAGTCTCCCATCACCCCAAACAGAAACTCAGTGTACCTTATGCAATAATTCCACATTTTCTCCTCCCTTCAGCCCCTGGTAACCACTAATAACCTTTTTGTCTCTATGCATTTGCCTACTCTGGATATTTCATATAAGAGGGATTAGTCAATGGCTATTTTTTTGTGTCTGGCTTATTTCACTCAGCATAATGAAATAATTTTTTTTTTTTAAGGTTGAAACTGCTGTGTGCTCTTGGTTAGCCTATTCCTTGACTATATTGTTTTGCTTGAATAGTTTCCAACAAGATGGAAATTACTTACATCAGACTGATTTTCAAATCAATGATTATCCTGAGAACCCTCAAAAGTCACAAAGACTCCACAGAGCACAGGAAGATTTCATTTACTTGGGTTGCACACAAATCACATGAAAATGCACCAAGAACCTTCTTAGAGAACAGCCGAAAGGAGTAGAAGAGTGTGAGAGCCTGTTAACTAAAAGGAGTGAATCAAACATGGAGCATGGTTTCCATTTCATCCTGATGTGACATGAAATCTTGAAATTAACAATGCTGTGAAGCTCATTGTCTGCCACTCTGAGGCCACCATGGATTTGAGATGACCGATTCCTGCACCCTGAAACTCGAAATGCCTGAAATCGTACAGCTCAGAAGAGAAACTCAACAGACCTGTTGTCAAATCTCATAGCAATGCTAAAATTCTCTTTTTATCAACCCTGTTAAAGACTGAATTACTTTCCCATTCTCTCTATGAAAAAAATTACTAAATCATTGCCATCGAAAGAGGCAATCAAGTTCTGCAGCCAAACATTTAGGAAAAGATATGTTAGAGGTGTTTCAGGCAGTTAATTAACAAAAATGTTTTATTAATTGTCTGAGGTTTGTGGATTTATCAGCTTTTTATAATTTGCAGTTTGTTGTGATTTCTTCTCTTATTCTAATCAACATTCACCTTCATACCTTAAAAAAAAAAATCTTTCTCTCCAGCTTTCTCATCTCTTTAAAAGCATAACCTAATGTTTATAGCTGAAACCTGGGTATCGTCCTTGATTCCCTGACTCCTTAAGTTCATTCAACAAAATTTGTTAAACCTCTGCCACATACCAGGCTCTGTTTCACCTTCTGGGGATCTCATAGAGCAACCCCAATCTACTATAGGGAGTCAGGCAATGGACAAAATAAAAAACTACATGATTTAGTATGTTAGGTGGTAAGTATTAAGAAGAACAATAAAGCAGGAAGGGTCATGAGGATTGCTGGGGTGGGGATATGCAATTTTAGGTCATGGAAGGCCTTGTTGAGATATATTTGGGCAAAAGTTTTAAGAGCTGAGATGGTGAACCATGAGGATATTCAGACATCCTGTGGAAAAGCATCCCAGGCAGAGGGAACAAAAGAATAAATACCTTTAGCTGAGAGCATGCATTGTGTAGTCAAGGAACAGTAAGGAGGTAAGGTGGCTGGAGAAGAGTGGATAAAGCAGGAGTGCAGTAGGAGATGAGGGCAGTGAGGTGAGCGAAGAGGAGATTCTGTAGGATCTTTGCCTTACACTCGGAGTCATAAGAAACAGTGTCATGGATTGAATTGTGTCTCCCCGAAAATATCTGTCAACTTGGTTAGGTTGTGACTCCCAGTATTGTATGATTGTCCATCATTTTGTCATCTGATGTGATTTCCCTATGTGTTGTAAATGCTATCACTATGATGTAATAAGATGTATTAGTGGCAGTTATATTGATGAGATCTACAAGATTAGATAATGTCTTAAGCCAGTCTCTTTTGAGATGAAAGAGAGAAGTGAGCAGAGAGACAGTGGGAACCTCATGCCACCAAGAAAGCAGTGTTAGAAGCAGAGTGCATCCTTTGGACCTGGGGTTCCTGCTCAGAGAAGCTCCTAGTCCGGGGGAAGACTGATGGCAAGGACCTCCCTTCAGAGCCGACAGAGAGAGAGAAAGCATTCCCCTGGAGCTGATGCTCTGAATTTGGACTTGTAGCCTACTAGACAGTGAGAAAATAAATTTCTCTTAGTTAAAGGCATTCACTTGTGGTATTTCTGTTACAGCAGCACTAGATAACTAAGACAAGGAGCCATCAAAAGGTTTTGAGAACAGAAATGACACAGATTTGCAAGATGTCTGGCACACTGGAGTTGGCATGCAGTAAAAATCAACTTCCTGGCATTTCTACTTTCAAAATATTTCTCAAGCACATCCATCCACTTCTTCCCATCTCTACAGCCACAATACTTGACTAAACCACTATCCTCTCTTGCTTTAGCATCTTGAAAACCTTAAGTAAAAATTGGCTTTCACAATTTTTACTCACACCTGCAAATCTGTTCTCTATGCAGCAACCACAGTAATCTTTGAAAATGTATGAACCATATCACACCCTTCTTAAAATGCTTCGGTGATTTCCCATTACACTTTGAGGGAGATCCAAACTCCTTCTGAACCATGAACAGTCAGTCTCACTCTGTTCAGTTCTGCTTTGGCCACATGAGCCGTCTCTCCATTCTTCAAACACCCTAACTCTGTCTGCCTTAGACTCTTTGTAGCTGCAATTCTGCCTGGAGGAGTCCTCCCCCTAGCTCTTCACAGACCAGTCCCCTCTCTTCCTCTAGGTCTCAGGGAGATCCACATCCCAACACACAAACACACACACACACACACACACAAGAAAAACAAACCCAAAGCCATTGCTGTTGAGTGGATTCTGACTCCGTTAATCTCCATCATGTTATTGTTAGTTGACATCCAGTGACTCTGACTCACGGCAGCGTATGTACAACAGAACAAAACATCACCCAGTCCTGCACCATCTATATGATCATTGACATGTTTAGTCCATTGTTATGGTCATTGTGTCAATTCATCTCATTGAGGATTTCTCTCCCCTTCACTGGCCCTCCACTTTACCAGACATGATGTCCTTCTCTAGGGATTGGTCCCTCCTGACAGTGCATCCAAAGTAAGTCAGTCGAAGTCTCGGAAAATATTCTATTGTGATTTACAGGGTTTTTATTCGCTAATTTTCAGAAGTAGATAACCAGGCCTTTCTTAGTTTATCTTAGTCTTGAGGCTCCCCTGAAACCTGTCCACCATGGGTGACCCTGCAGGTATTTGCAATACCGGTAGCGTAGCTTCCAGCATCATAGCAACACTCAAGCCACAACAGTATGACAAACTGACGGATGGGTAATGGAGTTTCCACCATAGCACCTTATTAATTTCCTGTATGCCATTTACCTAATTGTAAGCAGGTACTTATTTGTTTGCTTGCTTTTTTAAATGGTCTGTTTTTCCGCTAGACTGTGAACGCCACAAGGGCAAGGACTACTGTGGATCTCTTAGCCATTGTTTATCACGAGAGACTAGCATGGTGTCTGGCACACTGGCATTGGCACTCAGTAAAAATCAACTGAATATGTAAAGGAAAGGAAGAGAGGGGATCATAGATAGATCCAAACCCCAGTGTGATAGACATCTATGAATCATTAGGATTGAGTAAGCTTTTAAGCAACAAAGAACCATAATTTTATAAATTGTTTCAAACATTCTCCTAGAGGAAGGAGAGGGCAGCAGGTATAATGAGACTACTTATAAAGTGATATTTTTAGTGTATTCATTTCTCCTCTAATTGTTGCTGCATTTATTTTAGTTGCCATGGGAACATGGGCGGGGGAACTTTCCATCTTGTCCCCACTCTTTTAGGCTTCAGCAAAGGAAGATGGAACATAAGGGGGTCTCCAAGTATTGCTTCAAAATTTGCCATTCATCAGGTGGTTCAATATCACACACACTTGCTGGTGACCTGCTCTGTGCCTGATACTGTGCTGGGCACTGGGGAGAAGGAGGTGAACGAGATATAGTGTTGAGCACGCATCAATTCAGTACAGAGTAACAGTGATGTGATGGGCTTTGCACAAGGTGCTGTGAAGCCAAAAAGAGAGTTGAAGAAAGCTTTCTCGAGAGACTGACTAAATTGTGCTGGAAAGTTGGCTTGGAGTTAGCCAGACAAGAAAAGGGAGTGGAGGGTGAGAAGAAATCTCTGTCAATTATTTTTTTATTGCAGATCAAAGACATGAGGAAGAGTTGGAACAGAAAAGAAATAGAATGGGAGAAGAGTTAAACCTCAGAAAAGTGAAAACAGTCTGTCCATTGCCTAAGTGTGAAGGATGAATGTGAGTCCAGGTAAAGAAAATTATCAACTATTCAAGAAAAGGAAGTTCCTAAGTGTTTTTCGTGTTGGGTTGTCCCAGATAAAAGGGGTCAAATAGCCACCTGTGGGATACATTCCATTATCTCATGTACGCAATCACCTTTGGGTGTGTGTGGGAACAAGGAATGCAACAATTTTGAAAGGGAGTAACCCTGACTGTGGGACTGATTAGAATCCCTGTAAGGACTGGGAGCACTGATAGCGCATGGTGTTTTCACCAAAGGAACACAGCTATATGAAGTCATTTCATGGCAACCCAGATCCTTTGTAAGTAGTTTTCAACAACATGAAAGGGAAACTCTGTCTCTAGGAACATTCATACTCTCTCTTTTCCTGCTTTTGCCGCCCCGCCTCTCAAACTGCGGTTACTTCCTTCCAGTCCTTCTGCCCACTAACTCTCTTGCAAAATCTTCATTCCCTTTTTTGTTACCATCGCTGTCATCATTTCCCCTTTATCCTGCATCCTACAATCTCAAGAAGTGTACTGGAGGATCCTCCTTCCTTGGTGAGCACGGACCCTCCTTCCTAGGTGAGCAGGTACCCTCCTTCCTTTCTTTCCTTGGTGAGTGGGGATCCTCCTTCCTTGGAATGGGGACCCTCCTTCCTTGGTGAGTCCTCCTTTGGTGACCGGGGATCCTCCTTCCTAGGTAAGCGGGGGACACTCCTTCCTAGGTGAGCAGGGGCCCTTCTTCCTCAGTGAGTGAGGACCCTCAAGAGCTAATTATTTTAATTTTGTCATATACTCATTAATAGAATTACTGGAACCAAATTCTACACAGACATGGACTCCTAGAATGTGAGAAGCAGAAGGAAATCAGGGATTTGATACACTCCTCTCATTTTACAAATTAGGAATGTGAGGTCCAGAGAGAGCAGGCCAGCATGTCTTCTCAGGCCATGATAAGTGAGGCAGTGTTTTCATATTTTAATAGCTAAACTCCCTTGAATAAGGCCCAGAACTTAATTTCTTTCTATTGAAATCTTGTCCCCAGAAGATTCTATCGTGTTACAGTGGGATCACAATGCTACCTTAAAGATTCTCTTCATGAAGCCAGAATGCAATTTTTCCCTTCTATTTTTATGTTTGAAATATGATCACATTTTTTAAAATTGTCTTTCTTGTTGGCATTTTTATTGATTCTTTCTCCATCTACCCAAAATAATTAAATGCATAATATGGAGCAAAATGTATAGAATCATCCAAATGCTTATCCTTGGTTATGATCTGCCAAATTCAAAGCTTGCCTTTTGCAAAGCTATATCTGCAGGGAGAGCATTTAGAACAAATGATAATAATAACGAGGTGCCTGGCACTGAGCCTAGTGATCTGTATGCGCCATCTGACTTAAACTTCACAACACCCCTGTGAATGCAGTATAGCTAATGTTTCCATTGGACAGGTGTCATGGATTGAATTATGTCCCCCCAAAAATGTGTGCATCAATTTGGCTAGGCCATGATTCCCAGTACTGTGTGATTGTCCTCTATTTTGTGATTGTAATTTTCTGTTAAAGAGGATTAGCGTGGGATTGTAACACCGTTACCCGGGTCACATCCCTGATACTGCGTAAAGGAAGGTTCCCTGGGGTGTGGCCCGCACCATCTTTTATCTCTCAAGAGATAAAAAGGAAAAAGAAGCAAGCAGAGAGGGGGGACCTCATACTACCAAGAAAGCAGTGCCGGGAGCAGAGCGCGTCCTTTGGACCAGGGGTCCCTGTGTCAAGAAGCTCCTAGTCTGGGGGAAGATTGATGAGAAGGCCAACAGACAGAGAATGACTTCCTCTGGAGCTGACACCCTGAATCTGGACTTTTAGCTTACTTTACTGTGAGGAAATAAATTTCTCTTTGTTAAAGCCATCCCCTTGTGGTATTTCTGTTACGGTGGCACTAGATAACTAAGACAACAGGTAAGTAGAGGTTTAGAGAGGTTAGGTTCCCAGTCACATCGTAAACAGCTGAACCAGCATCTAGTTCCAGGTGATAGAATTAAAATCTGAGTTCTTAACTCTCTTTTACACTCATCAAAGGACAAAATAAATTGATTCAAAGATGTAGTCATTTTACATCCCCATTCCCACAGGTACAGTCATACATCCACTCAGTCTAGGAGCCATAGATGGACGCAATGAGTAGGAGCTGTTTCCATTGTTGTGTACAGCCCTGAAAGGGTTTATATTCGGTGGACTCTTTCCTATGGCCTGTGAAAAGGCTTGTTAGACAGCATGGCAAGGCAGATCAACCAAGTGCCAGCTGTGACAGTTTCATTATCTTATCAATTCCTGCCCTGCAATTCTGTTTATTCCTACCTTTTCTTTAGGATGTGTCTGCTCTGACTCTTTCTGAGTTCTTGGGTCAACAGAAAAGTTAATTCTTCCTTAGCAGTCACATGGTTTCACTATTCTCTCTCTCTCTCTCTCACCCACCCACACACATATACACACACAAACCATGCTTTGCTTCACAACTCATTTTCAGTGTCTTTCCAGTTGAACTAGTACCATAAAACTATCTTTATATTTCTTATTATTTTAAAGATCTTTACAACTCTCCTTGTTCATTAACTTTTAACTATTATCATAAACAGGACTACAATCACTATTTAATCAGGAAGAGAAGCATAATATAATTTCTCTTGCTCTGTCATAGGCTCATGGAGAAAGTCAAATGGTGGAAGCAATCATCTATTCAAGGTAATGTATTTTCTTTTAACTCCTTTGTGGACATAATGCCTTAACCCAACCAATGGCCCGATAGGAAGGATTTCAAGCTTGGTAGTGGTCACCCTTTCTCATGACATTGACAATCCAAATAGCTCCTTCATCTCCATTTCTAGCCCACATCTCTCATCCAAAACCTTTTTTTTTTTTTTTTTTGTTATGTTATGCCAATTGAACTAGCTGCTCCCTGAGACCATGGGCCCTGGCCATTAGCCTAGTAACTCAGTCCCTCGGGGTGTTTAGATGTGTCTATGAAGTTTCTATGACTTTGCCTTGGTCACATTGTGCTGACTTCCCCTATAATGTGTACTGTCTTTCCCTTCACCCAAGTTACCACTTATCTACTATCTAGTTAGTGATTTCCCCTCCTCATCCCTCCTCTCCCTCATAACCATCAAAGATTGTTTTTTTCCTGTGTGTAAACCTTTTCTTGAGTGTTTATAATAGTAGTCTCATACAGTATTTGTCGTTTTGTGATTGACTTATTTCTCTTAGCATAAGCCCTCCAGATTCATCCATGTTGTGAATGTTTCAAGAATTCTTCACTGTTCTTTAGCATTGCATAATATTCCATTGTGTGTACGTACCATAATTTGTTTATCCATTCATCTGTTGATAGGCACTTAGGCTGTTTCCATCTTTTTGCTATTGTGAATAATGCTGCAGTGAACATGGGTCTATTCACGTGATGGCTCTTATTTCTCTAGGGTATATTCCTAGGAGTAGGATTGCTGTAGCATATGGTATTTCTAGTTCTAGCTTTTTAAGGCAGCACCATATCATTTTCCATAGTGGTTATACCATTTTTCATTCCCAGCAGCAGTGCATGAGAGTTCCAGTCTCCACGTAACCTCTACAACCTTTTTATTTTCTGGGTTTTTTTGACTATTGCAGCAATGTCGGGGTGAGATGTATCTGAGTATAATTTCAGTTTTCATTTCTCTAATAGCTAGCGATTGCGAACATTTCCTCATGTGTCTGTTAGTCGTTTGAGTGTCTTCTTGGGTGAAGTATCTGTTCAAATCTTTTTCCCATTTTTTAATTGGATTATTTGTCTTTTTATTATTACGGTGTTGCAGTATCTTATAGATTTTAGAGATTAGACCCTTATCAGATATGTCGTAGCCAGAAATTTTTCCCAGTCTATAGGTTCTCTTCTTACTCTTTTGGTGAACTATTCTGATGAACACAAATGTTTAAATTTTAGGACCTCCCAGTTTTCTAGTTTATCTTCTGGTGTTTGTGCATTGTTAGTTATGATTTGTATCCCATTTATGCCATATGTTAGAGCCCCCAGTGTTGTCCCTATTTTTTCTTCCATGATCTTTATAGTTTTAAGTTTTATATTTAGGTCTTTGAATCCATTTTGAATTAGTTTTTGTGTATGGTGTGAGCTATGGGTCCTGTTTCATTTTTTCACAGATGAACATCAAGTTTTGCCAGCACCATTTGTTAAAAATACTGTCTTTTCCCCCATTTAATGGACTTTGGGCCTTTGTCAAAGATCAGCTGACCTTAGGTGGACAGATTCACATCTGAGTTCTCAATTCTGTTCCATTGGTATATGTGTCTGTCATTGTACCGGTACCAGGCTGTTTTGACTACTGTGGCTGTAGAGTAGTTTCTGAGATCAGGTAGTGTGAGGCCTACTACTTTGTTCTTCTTCTTCAATAATGTTTTACTTATCCAGGGCCTCTTTCCTTTCCATATAAAGTTAATGACTAGTTTTTCCGTCTCATTAAAGAATACTGTTGGTATTTGGATCAAGATTGCATTGTATCTGTAGATCACTTTGGATAGGATTGACATTTTTACAATGTTGAGTCTTCCTATCCATGAGCAAGGTGTGTTTTTCCATTTATGTAGGTCTATTTTGGTTTCTTGCTGTAGTGTTTCATAGTTTTCTTTGTATAGGTCTTTTATATCCCTGGTTAGATTTATTCGTAAGTATTTTATTTTTTAGAGGCAATTATAAATGGTATCATTTTCCTGATTTCCTTTTCATAGTTCTCTTTGTTGGTGTATAGGAATCCAACTGATTTTTGTATGTTGATCTTGTATCCTGCTACTCTGCTGAATCTTTCTATTAGTTCAATAGTTTTCTTGGGGAATCTTTAGGGTTCTCTATGTATAGTATCATATCATCTGCAAATAGGGATAGTTTTACTTCTTCCTTACCAATTTTGATGCCTTCTTTTTTTATTGACTTTTGCTCTAGCTATAACTTCCAGCACAATGTTACAGAGGAGTGGTGATAAAGGGCATTCTTGTCCTGTTCCTGTTCTCATTGCCAGAATGGCAACGCAAATAGCTCCCTCTTCTCCATTTCTAGCCTTGATCTCTCACCCAAGGTCTTAATGATTAACTTTCAAGTAAGTTTGAGATATTACTTCTTAGATGTCATCTTCCAGAGAAAAGTGAGTAAGTTTAAACCTAAACTTATTGTTATTCCAGAACTGTGTTGTTCAATATAGTGCCCACCAGTGATATATGACTACTGGGCACTTAAAATGCAGCTTGTCCAAACTGAGATGTGTTGTAATGTAATACACAGTCAACTTCAAAGAGTTAGTAAAAAAAAAAAAAAAAGAGTGTATCTTATTTATTATTTTTAATTGATAATGTGTTTAAATGATATTTCATATGTGTAGGATTATGAAATTTATTACTAAAACTAATTTCTCCTGTTTCTTTTAATTTTTTTAAAATGTGCTTATTGAAAAATTTTAAATTACATGTGTGGCTTACATATTTCTATTGGACTATACTGTGCTAAGGAGCTCTGGTGGCACAGTGTTTAAAGCATTTGACTGCTAACTGAAAAGTCAGTGGTTTGAACCCACCAGCCACTCTACAGGAGGAAGATGTGGCAGTCTGCTTCTGTAAAGATGTACAGCTTTGGAAACCCTATGGGGCAGTTCTGTTCTGTCCTATATGGTCACTAGGAGTTGGAAGTGACTCGACAACAGTGGGGTGATATGCTGTGTTAAAATGTCAAAACTGGGAAGAACTGTCTAATTCCACCCCTCATTTTATGAGTGAAGAAGTGATAGTAATAACTAATGTCTATTCAGTCATTTTTGCATGCTTGATAACGTGCTAAGCACTTTACATTTATTGTCCCATTGAGTCTGTGTTGCAATCCTATGATATAGGTAACATGATTATGCCCATTTTAGTGATGAGGTCTATGGAGGCGAAGTAGTTTGACCAGGGTTACCCAATTAGTAACTTGGGTACTTGGCATGGCTTCAATTCTTATGAATGATGTAATATGCAAGTATTTCCCAAGACACAGGTGTAATGTGTATATCTCTAGGGTTCTCTGTTACTGGACCCACCTTTCTCTGGTAGCCATAGTACCAAGGATTTACTCCTCAATATCTTTGCCCCCAACTCTGGTGTCCTTTCCTATTATTATTTGAAGTGAACTTTTGCCCAAAGCAAGGGAATAGTAATTCCTCTGGAGCAAATTACTGCAAAATCTATTTTATTAACTACAAAGTGGCACAGAAAAGCGGCAAAATGGAAAGCTCTGTGATGAAAGATGAGTTTCCATTCTGCCTAAAGCTACATTCTTATTCCGTCAAAACACACACACACACACACACACACACACACACACACACACACACACATACACTTAGCCTATCACTCTTCCCAGATGCTGCAGATATCTACAGTGCAGTTGCATCTTAGATTTGGTCTCTAAAGGTTAGTTGAAAGGTGAAAATAACATCTGGACAAAAATAATAGTGCTAATAAATTCCCCTGTAAAGGACAACATTATAAACTACATGCCATCTCAGGATAAATCCAACTCAGCCCAGTTATTCTCCAGCTGAAAATAGATGGTTGCTTTTTTAATTGAGTATCAGATGATGTTGTTTGTTTGTATTTAGGGGGCATCTTATATGAAAAGAACGTATCTTTAAACACTAAAATCACATTAGCACCATGAGATGCTGATTTCACAAGAGGTACATGAAAACTGAGAGTAAATGAGGGAAATGAAGTGCATCCTTCCTATTTCATGCTAACTCTAGGGCATTCAGTCATTGAATGGAATGGAGGGCAGAAATGTCCCTATTATTTAAATTGTTGTTTTTAATCTGTATATTTTTTCCAAGGATGTAAAATTGAATTTGTGCAAGTTAAATTAATATGCATATTCTCCATTATACTCGCAACCTACCGGTACCTCTGGGAAAGAATATTAACTTATTATGGGTTTATCCTGCATGGACTTTCTCAAGGAGGGTTTTTGTGATATTAGGTGTGAAGTATTTGTCTTTGGTGGGCTTGAAGAATTCATGAGCTCATTCACTCAGAATAGTAATTGAATGTCTATGTGCCAGACGCTGTCCCAGGTGCTGAGAGTCAGAGATGGATTAAGAGACCATTCGTGTCTTAAACTGTTCAGAAATTTTAAATTTTGCTCATTTTTTAAAAAAATAAGAACTCGGATACCCTGAGGAGTCAAATGAGTAGTTTGTATTTTCTTTCATTGTTATTATTATTATTATCAGAAGGAGGAGGAGGCAAATGAATGTTGTAAAAATATTCCAGAACCCTTTTATCTGATGGGTCCTGCTGCAGAAGGCAGTGTGGCAGAATGGAAATAAGGAATGACACAAATACTGTCAGAACCTGAGTGGAAAAAAATTAGAGTCTAGAACGGCCAATTATTATCATTATTATTATTATAATTTTGCCTTTCAAAGCATTTCTGTCTTAAGCTGAATGGGACAAATGCAGATAAGAAAATTCATCTGTTAATGAACTACTGTGAATCTTATACTGGAACTGTGTCCTTGTGATAGTTTTACTAGGTATTCCTCTAAAAGTTTTAAACCACTGATCTTGTCCAACTATCTCATTTTTTAGACTATAAATTGAGACTCAGATAAGGGCCATCAAATTTCCAGTTTATTCACCAGCTAAATGTTTGCCTTTTTATATGATTTGCTTCTTTTTTGTTTATAAGATCACCACTTTTGTTGTTTTTTTAAAAGCTAATTGGCTAACTCATTTCAAAGATGTCTCTTTGACTTTATATTATTAACCTGGAACATATTTACTAGTGCAGGCATAAGAGACTATCTGCTCCAACCTTGTACCATCTATCATTTTCTTTCCTCAGGATCCTTTATGACCCAGGCGGCCTCCCTGATCAGAAAGATACCGAAGTTGTAAAACTCACACAAAGCCAGGCTTTGTTAACACCTGAGCATGCAGAAAGGCTCTAGTCACCATCACACGCTCCTCTAATGTCTCCACTATGCTTTCTCTGGACTATCCCTGGACAAAGGATGGAAGATTCCAGAGCAAAACCTGGCTTGCCTGGAGCCTGGTTGCCTGCACATGGAGGTGAGTTGCTATGTTCCTATGGGCAGGTCTGCTTAGATTGTGTGGAACACACTCTCTGCTTTGGCCGGTTTTGTCTCAGGCCACACCTCCTTCCCTAAGTACTGAAGGGGTGGCCCTGGGCAGAGCTACAAGGCTAGCCCAGTTTGCCTTTGCAGCCAGGCTGCTCCTTTCCCCATTGCTCTGAGCCCATGTGTGGTCACATCGCCTGTGCTCTTGCTCCCCAGCACAGCTGACACCAACTGGTGTCCACAAATAGCTATGTTCTCAATGCTTAGAATTCTTTTTTCAATTAAAAAATATTTTACAAACATTTGCAAGAAAATACATTGCTTGTTTCCTGATTGTAAAGTAAGGCATAATAAATGTAGAGAATTAGGTAAATAGTAAAATTATAAATTAAAAAAAGCAAGTATTAAGTATGATTCTATTACCCAGAGACTGCTAATATTTCGTGAACTTTCTCATACTTTTTCTTTTTTCTGTGCCACAGACATTTCTAAACCTGGGATGCTAATCAATGTGTTGTTAAGCACTCTTCTTTTCTCTTAATAATATTTTGTGACTATTTCCCCATATCATTTAAATAATCTATGAGACCATGTGTGAATGTGTTTGTGCATGCATGTACATGTATACAATGCTTTCTAGTAAATCCTTCCATAATTTAAAATTACCTTTAGACAGAGAACTGTCCAGGACTCCTGTATAACATTACTCTTTCATTTTATTCCTGCCTTGGAGCTACCACAAATCATGTATTTTAACGTTTTATTCTTTACTCCAGGGCTTCTGCATGCCTAATGGCTTTGTCTCCATATTTTATTCTTTTCATCAAAGTTTCAATAAATGAAATAGTACAGTGCTTACCGGAAAAGCAATACACCCACTCTTCACTTAGGGACATGGTTAGGTTTCAAAGACCAGGTCTTTATGCGAAAATCTGCCTTATGAGAAATACTCAAGGTTTCCTGTCCCAGCGTCCCCTCCTTCCTGACCTCAGCCCTCCCAGCTGGGCAGCCGTGGCCTCTGAACCTGCGGAGGTCACGGGCTCGCCTTCGCTCTGCTCTCTAGAGTCCGAATGTATGCTGCGGTCTGCTGGCGGGGCCTTCTCAGCCACCCAGCTCCCCAGCTCGGGCTCATGATGCTGAAAGTGGGGCAGTGTGACGAACACCGCTCGCCATCCACGCCTGGCTCCCAGCACCCGTTGGCCAGTGCCTGCATGCCAGGCTAGCTGGGGGCGGAGGGTGCAGTGCACAAGGAGACAGCTGGGTGGAGGGACAGGAGGTGCTATCCGAGAGTAGTCTGAGCATTGGGCACAATGTGGGTTCCAGACTGGGATTCAACACCCAGGGGGCGCGGCACTACTCCTCCCTCCCCACACCGTGGCGGAGCTATGCGTGGGGAGAGTGTTCGAGTCCGTGGGGTCATTAATGCGCAAAATAGTCGCACAGTAGATTCTTTACTACTGTCCTAAATGTCGGATAGTGAGATAGTCAGTAAATGAGGAACGGGTGTAGTCCTCCGACTGTCTGTTCACCACCCAAGAATCAGTCTTCTCCAGAGGAGAGAACTGCCTGTTTGAGTTCATCTTCTATAAGAACTGTTTAATTTTGTAAATTACAGAGAAACCAGCAGTATCAGTGCCTTAGTTATCTAATGCTACCATATCAAAAATTACCACCCGTGGATGGCTTTACAGAACAGAAATTTGTTTTCTCATAGTTCTGGAGGCTAAAATCCAAATCAAGGTCTTGGCTGTGTAGATTCTTTCAGTGGGCCTCTTTCCTAGTTTCTGGTATCCATTGGCAATCCTTGGCATTCCTCACATGGCATCTGTCTTCCCCTCTGTATGTCTCTGTGTCTGTTCTCTTTTTATAAGACACTTCCCAGAAGTAATTAGGTTTAGGATTCACCCTACTCTGGTTTGACCTCATTAACATCACAATAGAAAACCCCTTTTTCTAAACAAGGTCATATTTACAGGTACTGGGGGACACAATTCAATCCATAATAATCGGTGAGGAATAGATTTACTGTGTATAACAGAAAATCATTTATTTTCTCGGATGAAAGAAGCCTGAAGGTATGTGGTCAACTTTTGGTATATAAAAGCTCCATGGTCGTCGGCGATACAGGCTTTGATATCTTTCTGCTCCCTCATGGCTTCCATTTTCAAGGTTTCAAAATTCCTACTGCTGGAGCTCCTCATTCCACACAACAAGAAGGAGTAAAGAGGACAAAACAAATATGGCATGCTCTAGCTAAGACCGGAAGCTTGAAGAAGTTTTCCTGGAAGTTCCATACAACACACCTGCTTAAATCTCATTGGCCAGAGCTCAGCCATGTGCCCACATCTAGCTGAAAGGAAGACTGAGAATGTAGTGATTTATTTTGGAACAGTGTTGTCGCTGAATTAAATTGGTATTTTACTTTCCCGTGGAAGAAGATGAAGAAGAATATTGGGTAGGCAATAAGAAAATGTATTGCTTAACATCACCAAACAGTTCAAGGGTTATCTATAGTTTGAGGTACAGTTTGATCCAAAAAATTACAATATAATCAGGACTTTTGTTCTATTTCTCAGAGATTCTTTGTATTTTTCCTCCCTGTGTGTTGTTTTTACCCTCAGACTGGCTTTCTCTAGGATGGCAGAGATGATTGTAGCATTTTATGATATAGCATTCTTCTACCTCATTGTTCGGAGAAGGAGAGAGACATTCTTTCTGAGACCTCTCACAGGCTGGCAAGAATATTTCCTTCCCAGAATCCCCTAGCAAAGTCCCTTTCAAACTCATTGGTTTAATTGGGCCGTTTGCTTACCCCTGAACTGTTCATTATGACCCAGGAGATGGAATATGCTGAACGATGTAGGCCAATCAAGGTCATCTTGAACTGGCAATAGGTTTGTTGCTGTTGTTGTGTGCTGTCCAGTGGATTCTGACTCATAGTGACACTATATGACAGAGTAGAACTGCCCCCATAGGGTTTCCTAGGCTGTAATCTTTACGGGAGCAGATTGCAATTTCTCCCATGGAGCCATCGGTGGATTCAAACTGTTGACCTTTTGGTTAGCAGCCAAGGGCTTAACCATGTTGCAACCAGGGCTCCTTGACAATGGGTTTAACTTTCCTAAAACACAGATATGCTGCATGGAGGAGATATGACTACCACACATGAAAACTAGGATTCAGAAACCTAGAGAAAACCAGTATCCACTACAGTTCTTCTGGAAATTTCCTCCCTCCCTCTATGTAATATGCTTACATAGCTATTTCTTTACTTGCCATTGTTTATTGACTTCCCAACATAGTAATATCAGATTCTTATTTCCATTTATGATCACCTCTATAACTTCAAACAGCACACTTAAACTTTTGTTGCTCATTTCATTAACCACAGGGGACTAACATCTCTGGAATACCATTTTGTACGAAGAGGACATTAACGTCCCATTCTTCCATTCATTACATCTTCCTACATCCAACTTTCAAACTTTGTCAGTTGTACCTTTATTTTATAATGTTGAGATTGAGGAGTACATGTTCTGTTCTGTTACTCTAATTAAGTCTTTTTAAATGCCCATACATTAATTCTAAAAGCTTAAAACCAGAAATATTGTTGCTGTTGGGTGCCATGGAGTCAATTTCAACACAGTAGAACTACCCCATAGGGTTTTCTAGGCTGTGATATTTATAGGGTTGGTATGAGTTGGAACCAACTCAACAGCACCTAACAACAACAACAAACTCTTTATGCAAGCAAATCGCCAAGTCTTTCTCCCACAGAGCCTCTGGGTGGGTTTGAGCCACCAACCTTTTGGTTAGCAGCTGAGCACTTAACCGTTATACAACCAGAGCGCCTTAAAAACCAGAAAACAACATTTAAATTATATGATGGTATAAATATAGTTCCTTGAAGGTCCAAATAATATGCTAAGATTTCACTTTCTTTTCCAGGTGGTCCAAAGACAAAAGCTTGTACCACTCAAGTTCTAATGGCTTCTCTGTTTGTAAACATCAAGTACCTTATCATTTCTGTACATTTTCCAAGATCCTAGTTAAACTGATTTACCCCCCACCCCTAGGCCTCTTTTCTATGGTTGTCAGCCCAAACTATAACATGTGGTCCCTCAACAAGCAGCAAGCATATCTGACATCCAAGATGTAGATCTGGAGCTCAGAAAACAATTCTGTGCTAGAATGCAAAATTTGGGAGGTGTTCCCATAAAAATGATTACTAAGGCTGGCATTGTGGATGAAATCATATGTAAGACTGCAGAGAGAGCAAGGAGAAGAGGGAGGGCTTCGACATTTAAGTGTCAGCTGGAGAAGGAGCTGGCAAAGAGGACTGAGATTTTCAGAGCTTAGCATCAGGGATTCAGTGATCTGGGGGGAGTCATGGAGGGAGGTGATGTTGCTGAACATCACACCTGGAACAGGGGTTCCTTCTTCAGCATTTCTTGAAGATGGCACCCAGCCTGCACTTTGGTACCTACAGTGCTAGACGGCTCAAAATGTTGAGACTGTCTTACACCGAGCTAAATTCTGTTTCTCTGTAATACCCTGGTCCCAGTTCCACCTTCTCATGCATCAGAAGTCCAGCCTGAATGTATTGTTTCCCTTTGCATAATAGCTCTTCAAATAGTCCAAAATAGGAAAGTACTCAATACATACAGTGTAATCAACCACTAATATTGTTCTTGCATCGTTGTTGGTATTGCTATGGTTTTTGTTGCTTGCTTACTCACAGCAAAAGATTTAAAGTCAGAAGGCCAGAATTTTAATCTTGGCTCTGTCCCTTTCTAGGCATGTCATCTCACTGTTATGTTCCTTAATCTTTGTGCTTTTTTCTTTTTTTTCTTTTTTTAATTTGTAAAATGGCAATAATAGCA